CCTCTTAGTTGCTCAGATCGTTCCGGATCGTGTGTATGGTACTGAAGATCATTTAGCAGTCTCGAAACAGCTTCCTCACGGGCTTCACCGGCGCCACTACAAGCAGCGTACTGCCGCCGAAGTTCAGGGTCGCTAACAAAAGGAAATGATCGCTGGTGCGCTGCATTGTCATCAGTTACGGCCGAGGGTGTGCCATCGTGGCTTGATAAAGGGTGCATCAGTACAGTACCCGTTGCGTTTGAATCATCTAGCGAGACTACATCATTATTCAAATGCCCCACTTCGCCCCCACACAGTGCAAAGCCATCTTCTTCTCCCCAATCAATTTCATCTGTACTGCCTTCCTCTTCAATATACGGTGTGCACTTCTGTAGAGCACTCTGAACAAGNGTACCCGTTGCGTTTGAATCATCTAGCGAGACTACATCATTATTCAAATGCCCCACTTCGCCCCCACACAGTGCAAAACCATCTTCTTCTCCCCAATCAATTTCATCTGTACTGCCTTCCTCTTCAATATACGGTGTGCACTTCTGTAGAGCACTCTGAACAAGATGTAATACAATCTGCTTGTTTTCAGCCACCAAAGTACCAACTTGCATAGGCTGATACTCTCTTGCATCATGTTGCTTCACATTTTCACCATAAAAAACATTGCATTCCTGGAAAAGCTGGTGACGGCACAGATCCTCACATTTAGGACGTTGTTCTGGAAAAAAGGCAAGACAGCGAGAGATCAAGTCGATCCACTTTTCTTGTCGATCTTGCGTTGTGTGTAGACGCCAGTTGTTCTTCATCATTTCCACTAGCCTAGAAGGACGCGGCACACTTCGCAAAAGATACAATCGCGCATTACCGAGCGGCATAAAGCGTTGAATCTCATCCTGGGTAGGGGTTCCAACTATATTGAGTATAACCTCTAGTTGTGTGCTAGCACGTTGGCCTTCCCATATACCGTGTTCATTTAAAGCTGAATTAACCGTAAAGAGTGCGCGCCCTGTCACCATTTCAAAGAATATACACCCTAATGACCACACATCTATTGACGTTTCCCCACGTGAAACGTTAGTAATGATTTCAGGTGGCCTATAATAGCGAGTGCATACATAAAAAGTATCACTCGCCTGGGCATCACGTGCGAGCCCAAGATCTGCTATAAGAGCTGTAGATTCGTACGGATTTGTGTTGTGTAAGCGAACTAAAATATTTTCAGGCTTCATGTCTCGATGCACAATGTTACACTTATGCAGATAATCGAGTCCAAAACATATTTGAAATGCAAAAACAACAGTCACCTGCTCAATGAACTCATCCGTCATCGCCAATTTGTGACTTGAGGGGGACGCATGCTTAATGAAATAAAGCAGGTCACCTTTCATGAGAGGCATCACAATATGTAGGTTAAATTCATCTGAAGCATGTATCTTCGCCACCTCTGCCTCAAGTTCATTCTGATGCTTAATAAGTGCTGCACCGCAACCTAAGTTGGCGTACTCTGGGCCCATCACATCTAAGCGCTGCGGAACTTGCCCTGCGTCCATTGGCCCAATGGAAAAGGTGTCATCCTCGGCAGTAGAGCGTCCGTCAACACCATAAGACGGAGTCACAAAGATGCTAAAAAAACTAATCACATGCGGGTGAGCATCGTGGAGGAAAGACATTGTGTCAATTTCACGAACGAGACGTTTGCTTTCTTGATTTACAAAACGTGCGGGGATCGTTTTGATAGCAACATGTTCGTTTGTAAGAAGATCACGGCACTCCTCAACGACGCCAAAACCGCCCTTGCCCACCACCCCACAGAGTTCATAACGTCCAACATGTCGTGTGTCGGGCATCTGTTCTCCGAGGAAACCGTGAAGGGGGGGGGNGGGGGGGGGTCTCTGTCTCCCTAAAGCTAAACAAAATAATAGGCCCAAACAAACACAAAAAAAAAACGACAGAAAGGCAACACGAATAACAGAAAAGGTATACCCACAAAAAAAGATACAAGAAACAAACCAACAGCAACCACAGCAAGACATACTAAGAATAATTAATGATAATAACAATCATAGTAATAAAAGCAGCAGTTAATCAAAATAGAATAGATATCCACACAATATTTACTCATTCTGGCACCGCACTCTTCTCAAGGCTTATGAGGAGAAGACAAGTCTATACCCTCAAAAACAAAACCTTTATCTTATATATTTCTCATTCTATTTCTTACTCAGTTTTGTCCGCTTTGTCTTTTTTATCCTTCTTCTTTTTCTTTTTTCTATCCAAAGAGCTGAATGCTAAATCCACCTCCGCCATTTGCTGTCTCTGCAGCTCCTCTTTCTTTTCCCGCTTCAATGTGTCAACATCTTTACCGCCACCTTCGCGTGCAAGTCGGCTGTTCAACTGCTTATCCTCCATTGCCTGCTTCCGCTCCTTCATTACCTCCATCTCTTCCAGCTCAAAAGCCTTCCGTACCTTATTCTTATAGTCGTTCATTGACCCATTGAAAGGCACCACGGTACGGTTCCCCGCTTCCCATATCTGCATGTCTGTCTCCTCAATCAAACGAGCGTCATGTGTGACGACCAAAACACCACCCTTGAAATTTTTAATGGCATGGCAAAGAGCTTCAATAGACTCCACATCCAGGTGGTTCGTCGGCTCATCGAAAAGAAGGAAATGAGGCATCTCTGCGCTAATTGCGGCAAACGCAACACGCGCTTTTTGTCCACCGCTAAGTGTCGCAATCTGATTTTTGTGCACAATACCCTCCAAACCAAAGCTTCCCAACAAACGACGCGCTTTGTCCTCCTCGCTGATGCCGAGGGATTGTATGCATTCCACTGGTGTCTTCTCCAACGGCAATTTATCCACAAAGTGCTGATTGTAGCGACCAACACGCACCTTTCGATTCATTGTGACAATTCCACCAGTAGGCTCAAGTGTACCTGTCATAAGGTTCAGCAATGTGCTCTTGCCAATACCATTGGGGCCACAGAGTGTGATGCGGCTATCTGTCCATAGTGCGCAATTAACACGCTCAAATAGAACCGGTCCCCCAGGGTAGTTAAAGGACACATCCTCCAATTTGACGATACAAGCATCCGGGAGTTCTGGAGGCTCGGCAAAGGGGAAGTTGACTATGTAGTCACGGCGCTTTTCAAGGTACAACGGGTCTAATCGACCAGTGCGAACCTGATCCTTGATCCATTCGTCCACCTGCGCATTAGACATTCCGTTGCGCTTCTTATCCTTAATTGTTTTAGTGACAGCAGCATACTTCTTGTCCAGCTCTTGGTGCCTCTGACGCAGCTGCTCATCGAAGCCGCTGAAACCACCCCGATAGTAATTCAGCAAGTGGTTCTCCACGTGCACCATGTGCGTGCAAACCTCATCAAGGAATCCAGCATCGTGCGACACGACAATAAGCGTCTTGGGACGTCGTGCAGTCTCACGGTACTGTTCACACAGATAGGATTCCAACCAAATGACAGCGTTCAAATCCAAATGGTTAGTCGGTTCGTCCAGCATGAGAACATCCGGTTCAATAAAAACTGCTGCAGCCAATGCAATGCGCTTGCGCCATCCACCGCTGAAGCTTTTTGTCGGACGTTCGTGCCACTCCGTAGGGAATCCAAGACCAAACAAAATGCGCCTAGCTCGGGCATCCGCTTGCGATGCACCCATCATATCCAGCTCTTCTTCAAGGAACTGTAACCGCACCATCTCCTCTTCACTCAGCTCCACTTTCTCCCGCAGTAGAGCGGCCTCTTTGGTGAACTCCTTTTGCTTCTTATGACTCTCCAGAACAGCGTTAACAGCACTCACATCAGAAGCATGAAATTCCTGCTCTTGCTCCACCAACAAAAGATCCAGATTGGACTGCACAGGCAACTCCCGCGAACCCAGCAAACGAAGAATCGTAGACTTACCACGGCCGTTAGGACCCATTAATCCGTACCGCGAACCAGCGGACAATCGCACAGTTGCATCCTTGAAAAGAACCTTGCCGTTAACAGACACCGACACCCTCTTGAGTGAGATGTTTCGTGAACCCTCAGCAACTTGATCCTGCTCCCACGTGACAGAAAATGGATTATCACCTTCTTTATTCACATTATTAGCTCTCTCACTCAAGAGGCGCAGCTCTTCGTGTTGCTTCTCAACCTTCTCCTGCTTCTTCCGTTCCTTGCGAGTCAGACCCTTATCCTGCGCCACCGCAACATCATCTGGGACAGTATCACTCATATTACCCCAGTATAAATATCTTAACTTGACCCTTGATACTTCACGCTAAAGAACAGATCCGCATAAAAACAGCAACAACGAAGCATCAGCATACCAAAACTCATGTCAATAAGAAGCAAACCCACAGAGCCAAACCACTCCACCCAGCATACCATCTATATCCAAAAACAAAGTAATAATAATAATAGAGAGAAGGGAAGAGTGATTACTGAAATAAAAAGAAAAGAAAAAAACGGAAATAATCAGAAAACAAAAGAAGCTGNGAGGAAAGGAAGAGAAGAATACGAAGGGACGAGATGATCCGGCAGCGCAGAACACACAGCAGCTGTGGTTACGCCAGCAGCAGCAGCAGCAGCATCGGCATCCAGAGGAGGCACACCGCGCCACTCTTTGCCCAGCAAAAAAGGGGCGTGCTTCGCCAAATAGTAATAATAATAATAATAATAATAGAGAGAAGGGAAGAGTGATTACTGAAATAAAAAGAAAAGAAAAAAACGGAAATAATCAGAAAACAAAAGAAGCTGCACGCAGTGAGCTCAGCACGCGGTTAGTCGACCTGCTCCATGCTGGACGTGCCGGCGGTGGCCTCCGCGGGGGCGGCAGGGGCGGGCGCCGCTGCCTCCTCATTGTCGTCGTCGTCGTCATCGAGCGAGAGGCCCAGCTTGATCATGCGGTGGATGCGTTCAGCGTACGACGTGGGGTCGTCCAGCGCGAAGCCAGACGTCAGCAGCGCCGTGTCGAAGAGAAGGTACACCAGGTCCTTCACCGCCTTGTCGTTCTCGTCCGCCTCCACGCGGCGCTTGAGCTCCTTCACGATGGCGTGCGTCGGGTTGATCTCCATCGTCTTCTTCGACATCATGTAGGCAGACATGCTCGAGTCGCGCAGCGCCTGGTTGCGCATGATCTGCTCCATGTGCGCGCTCCAGCCGAACTCCGACGTGACGAGGATGCACGGCGACGTCGCCAGGCGCTCCGACACCACCACCTTCTCCACCTTGTCGCTCAGCACCTCCTTCATCGCCTTGCAGAGCCCCTCAAACGCGGCCTTCTCCTCCTCCCGCTGCTTCTTCTCCTCCTCCGTCTCCTCGAAGTGCGCGCCCTCCTTCGTCAGGCACGCGAACTTCTTGTCCTCAAAGTCCTTCACCTGCTGCATCACATACTCGTCGATGGGCTCCGTCATGAAGAGCACCTCGAACCCGCGACGCCTTGCCTGCTCAATGAACGGCGACGTCTCCAGCTTCTTCTTGCTGTCGCCCGTCACGTAGTAGATGCACTTCTGGCCCTCCTTCATGCGGGTCACGTAGTCCTTCAGCGTCGTCAGCTCCTCGCCGGACTCCGAGCTGTGGAACCGCAGCAGCTCCATCAGCTTCTTGCGGTTGGCGCTGTCCTCGTGGATGCCCAGCTTCACGTTCTTGCCGAACTGCTCGTAGAACTTCTTGTAGTCCTCCTTGTTCTCCGCAATCTCCTCGAACAGCTCCAGTGCCTTCTTCACGATGTTCTTCCGGATCACCTTGAGGATCTTGTTCTGCTGCAGGTTCTCGCGTGAGATGTTCAGCGGCAGGTCCTCGCTGTCCACGACGCCACGCACAAAGCCCAGCCACTCCGGGCACAGGTCCTCGCAGTTGTCCATGATGAACACACGGCGCACGTACAGCTTGATGTTGTTGCGCTTCTTGCTTGGCTCAAACATGTCGAACGGCGCGCGCTTCGGCACGAACAGGATCGCGCGGAACTCCAGCTGCCCCTCCACGGAGAAGTGCTTCGTCGACAGTGGCTCCTCCCAGTCGTTGGAGATGGCCTTGTAGAAGGCGGCGTACTCCTCCTTCGTCACATCCTTCGGGTCACGCGTCCAGAGGGGCTTGTGCTTGTTCTGCACCGCGAACTCCTGCGTCACCTCCTTCACCTTCTTGGTCTTCTTCTTCTTCGCCTCGTCCTCGTCCTTCACCTCCTCCACCTTCGGCTCCTCGCCCTCCTCCTTCTTGGCCGCCTCCTCCTCGTTGTCCTCGTCCTCATCGGTCACCTCCTTCTCCGTCGTCTTCTCCACAAGCAGCTCAATGTCGTACCCAATGAACTCCGAGTGCTTCTTGATGAGGTCCTTCAGCCGCCGCTCCTCCAGGTACTCCTGCTGGTCCTCCTTCAGGTGCAGGATGATGCGTGTGCCGCGCTTCAGGTCGCAGTCCGGCGTCGGCGTCACCGTGAACGTGCCGCCAGCGGACGACTCCCACGTGTACGCGTCGTCGTCGTTGTTCTTCGACACCACCGTCACGCGGTCCGCCACGAGGTACGCAGAGTAGAAACCCACACCAAACTGCCCGATCATGCTCATGTCGCCGCCGGCCTCCAGCGCCTCCATGAACGCCTTCGTACCAGAGCGCGCGATCGTGCCGAGGTTGTTCACCAGCTCCGCCTTGGTCATGCCGATACCGGTGTCCTCCACCGTCAGCGTCTTGTTCGCCTTGTCCGGGATCACGCGGATGCGCAGGTGCGGCTCGTCGCCGAGCACCGCCTGGTTCGTCAGGCTCTGGTACCGGATCTTGTCGCACGCATCAGACGAGTTGCTGATCAGTTCACGCAGGAAAATCTCCTTATTCGAGTAGAAGGTATTGATGATGAGCGACATCAGCTGATTGATCTCAGCCTGAAACGCAAATGTCTCCGTCATCTTTGAAGTTTGTGTAGAGAGTCAAGAATTATGTGGATTGGGTTTGTTTTACTGTAGTTGAGGTTTTACGAAAGCTTGAAATAGCGCTACAGAAGTGCGGAGAAGGGTGGGCAAGAGGAAAGGAAGAGAAGAATACGAAGGGACGAGATGATCCGGCAGCGCAGAACACACAGCAGCTGTGGTTACGCCAGCAGCAGCAGCAGCAGCAGCATCGGCATCCAGAGGAGGCACACCGCGCCACTCTTTGCCCAGCAAAAAAGGGGCGTGCTTCGCCAAATAGTAATAA